AGTCTACTTGTGTGCCAACTAATATTGAAATCAGACCAAAACTGAAGAAGTGTAGTCTACTTGTGTGCCAACTAATATTGAAATCAGACCAAAACTGAAGAAGGAGAAGCGTTTTAAAGGAATTTCACAGAAAATTCTATTTTTAGTAACCATGGCAACACCGTTCATAGAAATCATAAACCGATGCACTATTCCATGTATCTTAGTGTAGTCTACTTGTGTGCCAAGTTATATTGAAATCAGATCAAAACTATAGGAGAAGTAGCATTTTAAAGGAATTTCACAGAAAATTCTATTTTTAGTAACCATGGCAACACCTTTCATCGAAATCAAAAACTTATGAACTGTTTATTATATCTTAGTGTAGTCTACTTGTGTGCCAACTAATATTGAAATCAGACCAAAACTGAAGAAGGAGTAGCGTTTTAAAGGAATTTCACAGAAATTTCTATTGTTAGTAACCATGGCAACACCTTTCATCGAAATCAAAAACTTATGAACTGTTTATTATATCTTAGTGTAGTCTACTTGTGTGCCAACTAAAATTGAAATCAGACCAAAACTGAAGAAGGAGTAGCGTTTTAAAGGAATTTCACAGAAAATTCTATTTTTAGTAACCATGGCAACACCGTTCATAGAAATCATAAACCGATGCACTATTCTATGTATCTTGTGTAGTCTACGTGTGCCAAGTTATATTGAAATCAGATCAAAACTGTAGGAGGAGTAGCATTTTAAAGAATTTTCACAGAAAATTCTATTTTTAGTAACCATGGCAACATATTTTATGTATCTTAGTGTAGTCTACTTGTGTGCCAAGTAATATTGAAATCAGACCAAAACTGAAAATGGAGTAGCGTTTTAAATGAATTTCACAGAAAATTCTATTTTTAGTAACCATGGCAACACCGTTCGTCGAAATCAAAAACCGATGTTTATGTATCTTAGTGTAGTCTACTTGTGTGCCAAGTTATATTGAAATCAGACCAAAACTGTAGGAGGAGTAGCGTTTTGAAAAATTGTTTACAGACAGACGGACGGACGACGGACACCTTACAATCGCATAAGCTCTTCTGGTCTCTGACCAGTAGAGCTGAAAACTAGAGGTACTGTGAGCAATGAGAACACTAAATGATACCCCCGCCTCCCATATGATTATAATGGTAAAGTCCATGTTTTGCTGTGGCCGGGAAACCCAAAATATGTATCGGATCAAAAAATAAAATAGGAGATGCACAATGGCAATATGTAATAAAGATTCTGTGAAAGTTTCATTAAATTTCACTCAGTGGTATAAGAGGAGTTGCGGATAATAGATGGATACCCCAAAGCGTACCAGACAGACGGACGGACGGACATACCGATTACAGTATACCCTCCCACTTTTCAGGCGGGGGGTATAATAAGGAAACCTGATTTTGATAATCTGCTTCAAATTTATAGCGATCTTTATTATATTCAGACTGGCTCAGTTGACATATGCGCTGACTTTTACATCGTGGAATCTTTCTTTTTAAAGTCGGGGGTTCGAGTTTCAAGTTTTAAATTTCGCCTTTTCAAAGACTATTAAATTTTTTTATAGACTTGTTTATTATACCCCCCGCTTGAAAAGCGGGAGGGTATATAGTAATCGTTAATTCCGTCCGTCTGTACGTCTGTCCGTCCGTCCGTCCGTCCGTCTGTTACGCTTTGGGGTACCTATCTCTTATCCGCAACTCCTCTCATACCACTGAATGAAATTTGATAAAACTTTCACAGAATCTTTATTACATATTGCCATTGTGCACCTGCTATTTTACTTTTAGATCCGACACATATTTTGGGTTTCCCGGCCACAGCAAAACATGGACTTTGCCATTATACATGTTACTATATGGAGGCGGGGGGTATCATTTAGTGAGCTCATTGCTCACAGTACCTCTAGTTTTTCTTCAATTATCTATGCTTTATGAATGTCCATTCTTGATATAAGAAACACTAAAAAGATATTAAATCGTAACAATCCAATGTACAGTTGTCAGTCCGGCGGAACAAACCTCAGTATAAGCACACTTTCTCCGAGGACAAGAATAACTCACTCTGTGTTACTCGATACAGGTATTCTTGGCAGCATTGAGCTGCGATATACTCCCTTGGATTTCATATAGGCCTATATAATTTGCACACATCCATGACATTTTTTATATCCACGGATATATAGCCTAGACATAAAGAATAGAATTTCAGAGACAGTAGACATTACCATTATGCACAATAAGAAGTAAAGACAAATATCAAGTACTAGTATTACATTTGGGGATAACAAACTCAAAAAATCAATGAAAGGGTTCCTCCTACCTCTACTCAGTGAAATAAAGATTTAGGATAAACAAATTGTTTTATGTATTCAGCCTAATGTCATTAATGAGGACGGAAATCGAAAAGCTTTTCGTATAGAAAAAAAACCAAGCCCGGTCCTATAGGTCAGATCCCTGTTTATAATGAAGTGATCCTTACAATCAACCAACTCTTTAAAAATTGATTAAAAATACATCAATCTTTATCACTAGTTAAATGTTGTTGTTTTTTTTTATATTTATCTATTTATCAGAACTTCTATCTATTTATCAGAACTTTTATTTTGTACACAATTAATAAAAAACCTATCACCATTAACAAGTATTTGCATCAACCTAAATTGTATCTTAAATATTCAAATGTTCCAAGTGATCTATTTTGTTATCAGAAACAGTTGGAATATTACAAACACAATTAATCAGTTTAATCGGAAATTATGGTCCCGATTATTTGCCTTCTGAAGCAATGTGTCGGATAAAAAAAATAGCGTGTATATAAGTGTGTAAATAGTCCCGAATATTAACTTTGTACTGCAATGAGTCGGAATACAAATCTTATTTGTAATTTTTAAAAATAGATTTTTAAGGCTTACGTACAGGTTTAGATTCCAGTTTGTTGAAATCATGACTCCTGGTTTTAGGATGGGACCATATATTATGGAAAAAGTAATGTTTACATGGGTCTGTTTAAGTAGGAAAAATCTTCTCAAGAACAAGAGTGCAATGTGTTATTTTTAATATGAAACATCCTTAGGGAGGATAGATTCCTGTATGTTCAAGTTGTAACTCTCGTGGTACATGTAAGGTGGGGTCCCAAATGAGCAATTTAAGCTTGACGTAGAAACAAAAACATGAGAGAAAATCTTAATTCTATTATAATTATATGGAAATATCCCCAGATTGTGTAACTTTAGGTTTCTTCAAAGCATATGACCCCTGGGTCCAACGACAGAGTAGGGCCAACAATTGGACATCAAAATACAGTAAAACTCGGTTATAGCAAAGTCACTCGGACATATGAAATTACTTCATTATATCCGTTTTAGGAATTCTTATATTTGTATAGGTGGGGATCCAAGATAACCGATATATCCGTAAATTTGTAATCTCCGTGTTCGTACTAAACGAATTTTGACTATATTAACTTAAAACATTTTTTAATAAGAATTTTTCATCAGAACAGCGAATTACGATTGGTTATATCTATGTGGAAGCCTCCTTGGTTATAGCTGCAGAACTGTTGCTCTCCGAAAAAAATATTTTGACAGACCGGAGAGCTACAGTGCCATTGAAAAAACTATATTTATTGCGCACAAAAAGGTGCGCTGTTTCTCGATTTATTTCCCAATGTATTTAAACAGTCATCTCAAAATAGTATGAACCGTGTGTTTCTAACATATTCTCTCACTGTTTCCACAACAAAACATTCCTCATAACTGTTGTTAATAGCCCTCCTCTCCCTGAAATTTTATCCATTTTTACTACCATTTTGATTTGCAAGATAATTCGGTCTAATGCACTTCGTGAACTAAGCGCAAGTTTTTGTGCGCAATAAATAGACAGTTTTTACAATGGACGACACTGTAGAGCTCCGGTCTGTCAATGTATATTTTCGGAGAGCTACAGTTCTGCAGCTACCTTGGGTAGTGTAGATGAAAGTTTGTTCAAATCATGACCCCACTTGGATAGGGGATGGATTTTGATTTTACTTGGCCATACTTTATATAGCAAACGTCTTCAAAAGGAAAAGTTCAAGAACAACAAATCCGTTATCTCTCATATTTATAAAGAAGGCTCCCCATTTAGTGTAGATTCAAATTAGTTCAAATTATGAATCCGTGGCAGGTTTGGACTATAATGGGCAATAGAAATACTGACGAAAAATATTTTTCAGAATAAGAAAGCCTATATTTGCCATAGTGACATGGAAGCTCCTCTGGCAGTGTAGATTTAGATTTTAATCATAATCCTCTTTGGGTAGGGAGGGGCTAAAACGGGTGATCAAATTTTTACATTACAGTAAATAGGATGAAGAATATGCTGGTGCAGTTACTCAGGTGATCGTTGTACATGGCCATTGGCTCTTTTAAGTAATGCAGTGTGCGGTGTGGGCCATTGGTTCTTGGATTTAATCATTTTAAAATCCATTGTGTCAAACATGTGAAAAAGAATATTGCAAATGCAGTGAAATTGTAGTGAAATCTCAAAACAGTCATGTTAATTTATAAAATTGACTAATGTTAACATTTCGAAAATATCTATATCGGATTGGTTACGAATAAATCTGATAAAAGGTAATGTTATTGTTAAGTAGCTGTTGTTTTTTTCTCTGTATCGGTAAAAATGCTCCTAATTTTAACCTGAATTTTAGATATACATGTAGATACCCTTATTTCATACATAACGTATGTACTACATTTTACCTCGCATATTCACTATCAATAGTATTATCCATTAACACCTCATATCATATATATTTATAGCCATAAATGTACTCCATTTTACCTCGCACACCCTCTTATCAATAGCATTATTCATGGCTATTACACGTGATTTGATTAAATGCATAAAGTGTCCGAGTATATTTGTGAATATATAACTAAATCTACTATAACTGAGAAACGTAACAAGTCGAAATACTTGAGCAACAGGTAACAATCAAAAATGAGGAATATATTCACACAATGCTGTGTTATACTTTTTGTCTTGTTATCGAATTCCCACTCATTTGCACAGGATGTAGAAAGTTACGCGAACCATGTTTCTGATGCCCATACCAAGCACCAGGCTTTGCAGAAACTGAATCAATTTCTACAATCTGAAGATATGAATTCCTGGAAAAGTAGTTTTTCCAGGGAAAAATTACTTCGAAGAGCAAGTACAGCAGCTGGTAACATTACTTCGCTTAACAACATGCTCCAAACAGTACTCGGTAACAACAAAGTTCAGACAATTTTGAAGGAAATATTTCCACAACTGGCTTCTGTTTCTCATTCTCAAGAAATTTCTAAACTGTTGCAGGGTGTATTGAGCAAAATAATAAAAAATGACACAATAGGACAACAAATTCAGCTGTATTCGGACTTGATGAAAGGGAACATTACCGGACTTATGAAGGACATAGATCCAAAGGTTCTTCAAGGTGTGATCAAGTCAATAGCTGCAAATTTAACGAAAGGCAATCTTAATCCAAGTCTAAATACACTTCCAGGAATTTTAAGTAAAGGACTAAATGCCGAAACGATTGCTCCGTATATTCTTAGTATCTTGCGCTCGAAAATCATGTCTATAAAATCTTCCAATCAATGTAAAGAAGATATTATCAATACAATATCAGGGCTTTCAAAACGCCAGTCATGGGCCTTAAAAAGTAAGTATTCATAACATTAAATTTTAAAGTTTCAGAAAATGGTCCGTATTAACGGAAGGGCAGTCTATTTTGAGTTTAACTGTACTGTATTACTGTACGACTTCCTTTGATATAACAAACATTTGTATCAGACATTCGCTTTATAACAGTCTTAATATTATTAAATAATAAATCGATGATAAAAATAAACATGTAGAATACACATGTAAATCACATTATTACAGCGAAATACAAAATACCATTAAGTTTATCTGAATACATTTTTTCATGGTGTTTGATGAATAGAGACAACACATCATAGCATAATACAATGATTTTGATAATTATGATCATTATAATTTATTGGAATCAATTTCGTTTATAGTGTTGGATGCGTCTGCTAAACTTCCACCCGATATACTTGATGTCAATATCAACTGGTATGGGTCCTATGATGAGTGCATTGCAGATTCCTCTGTTCTTGACCAGGCCAATATTCTACCAAGAAACCCCTCTATCCCTGTGGTTAAGCCACAGTATTGTACCGTTAGTATATATCCACCGGTGCCCCCAGCAGCGAGAGGGGTAAGAACCAAATTGAATGTAAAAGTTCCTAAAAACTCTTCCTATTTCTCCATAAACGCAACGAGAATAATATTTACAGAAATACATATTTAAATATCTAACCTAATTTTGTTTTCGAACAGTTACTCGGAATCTTCGGTGGAGGACTTATCAAGGCTGGAGTTTGTGTTCCGAAATCGTGCAGCAACAATGATATTCTTCTTTTGTCTAGTCAATGTACGCGAGATATTCTACATAATTTTCTTTTTTTCCCTTAACCATGACTTTTTCAAGAGATAATATCAGAAATAAGAAACTAAAATAATAAAGTTAAACTAAATTATATATTACATTTCTTAATAATTTATTTCAATATTATTTAAAAGTTCTCGACTCTGTTCCGATCGGAAATCAAAAATTCTATGCAACAAATGTGGACTGTGTGAAGGACAGACCGTATGAAACAAGGGACATCGCTGTCATGTAAGTCAGCCTTTATACTTGTATCACGGTACACTATAAAAAAATAACATGGTTGTTCGTTTAAGTTGTGGAACTTGAAACATATTCCTTTCCGTCGAACGAAGTAACAAATTAATCAAGTGTTTAATAAAATCCCCCCCCCCCCCAAAAAAAAATAATAATAATGATTATAATAATTTTTTGGTTCGTAAAAGTTTAAATGATCATTGGAACTCTAACAGTGAGTGTAAAATAAATATTTAAAAACTTTATTAAAAAACATTTTCCATTAAACATAATTCACCTAATTTAATCCTCATTTAACTTTTTTGTAGAACGCTCCTAGGAGTTTTTCTTGTTCTTATGATTCTTGGAACCCTTTATGACTTTGTCAACATTCAGTATCCAATATACAAATCAGGAAAAATGGATGAAAAAACTGTTAACAATTCAATGGATTCCGATGGCATTTACAAATTGAAATCATTTGATGAAAATCCGACCAATGTGAATACAGACAAAAAGGATGACAAAAATAAAGACGGTATTAATTTATAGACAAAATATTACTTAAGTAGAATCCTGCCTTAATTCAAGAACCACAATACAAATTTTCACATTCTTTTCACAAGTTCCTTATCTCCTGAACAGGCGTTTTTGGAAAGATTCTATTATCGTTCTCAATCTACACAAACGCAAAGAAGATCTTGAACACATCACAGCCAAAGGGAAGTTTGACAGCAGTGAATGGTATTCGTTTCCTAAGTATGAGCTGGGTAATCCTAGGACACACCTGGGCCTTCACAGCCACCAGTCAATTTGGCTGTAAGTCTTACAAATTATAATTCATATCATTTACTTAAGCTGCAGAGGGTGCAACAGGGGTTATTATAACAAAATATTTAATGTAGAAATCTTTCTTTTGGAATTTTTTTTCTGTATAATATGCTCGTGGAAGAAAATCTGCTTATCGCTTTTGAATTGTACATCGAACTACAATATAATTATGGATGTTATTTAAAGTCCATGCAATGATTTTGCACAATTAAAATGCAAATTTTTTCCTCATCAAAATCTTGAAGTGAAATAAAAGTAGTTTGTTATGCGCTACACAATCTCCCTTTAGTCTAAGGAATATTCCGGTTAAAATTTCTAATATTATTCTTATTCTAAAATCATTTTACCATTTTTTATAGTAGAATTTATTTCAAAATTAGGGCCTCATGGGGCATGACATACTAGTATAACAATTATGATTCCATATATATAGACATAAATCATATTAATACAATTTTCTTATAACTAATTAGCTCATTGTTCAGTTTGTAAGGTAATTTAATGGTATGATGACTAGATATAGTGTGACTCATTTAAACAACTCACTGTTCAGCTTTTATATATAATGCAAGATGCAAAAGAGACAAAGTCAAATTTATAATGTTCAGTTTTGTTTTAAGACACTTGAACAGGCACATCTAAATTTATATGGATAATAGAAAATAAAAACAAGTTAAAAACCATTAGATAAATGATTACATAGATATATGCACTGTAAGAAACTGGATTCTTTTATTCTCTCTTAACTTTATTCATCAAGTATCATGAGTAGTACAGGTGATATAAAGGTGATGGATCCCAGATAGGGAAACACTGGTACATCAGAACGTCCTCAACAGACAAACAGACTAGTGTGACACTGTAGAATTGACTGATCTATAAAGTTCTTCTCTACAGGAGTCTTTGTTTCAAAAACAATTCACAAATGGCGCACACGAGAAAAATAATCTCAATGACCAATGATGACCAAGTTTTGACATTAATTCAAAAACTTCTCTTTCAAAACCAATATCATATTCTAAATGGAAATAATGTGAAATATAAGTTACAATATTTTCATTACTATGAAATTACACAAAACCTATTATACCTAGTTGCATTATTTGGAGAGTATACAGATTAAAAAAATTTCATTACGTAACATCTTTTCAATGACACTGAACGTAATCCGCAGTGGTCAAGTGGTTAACGCAGAGCTCCTTGAACAACAAATCACGACAACCCTGGTTCAAATCCCAGTCGTGGTAAAAACTTTTTTTTTTTCTTTTCTATATATATACATAAAATTTGTTTTAAAATATACAACTCTTACATATTCCCCCACTTTATTTTTGCTGACCACAGCAAAAGAATAACTTGAAATACTCAGGGAACAAGAAGAAAATTACACTGAAACACCCAATGTGTGTCTATAAATGTCCATTTAAGACGATGTCCAAGCCTCACTCAATTTCGTAGCTAGTGTCGATCCTAAATTGGTTATGGCATCACTAAGTTCTTGGAAACTTTTCGTTTTCACTTCTTGCAAACACACTGCTGACTTCGGCAAACGATGTGGATTGGAATGTTTTCCGGCAGTGGTCCTTGTTGAACGTCTGATCGGCTTCACAGAGGGCTCAGAATTTTGTGAAACTTCATCTGTCGGATCACAACAATCTGGGGTCGGTTCAGCTTCATCCTGACTGTTGGATTCATGTTGACTCTGTTGGATAATGCCAATAAATGATTCCTCGGAATCAGAGTCACTAGAATCCGAATTAGTAACAGGAATTTCCTCTTGTACTTCGTTAGGAATGACCTCACCAGTGTCCAAGATTTCGTGTCTTGTTACATTTTTCACAGGTCCTGATCCATCTGCTAACTGAATTGAATACACATTGTCTCCTAGTGAATCAATCACTTTGTATGGGGTCGAATCCCACATGTCCTGAATCTTATTTCTACCTTGGATTCGATTACGCTTTAACACACGGGTTCCAACTGGAATTGGATGCTCGTTCGTATTGCGGTTGAACTGTTCTTTTCGTTTTTCTGCATTATTCTCCAAGTTTCTCTTTGCATTCTCGAAAGCTGTTTCAAGTTTATCCTTGTGTTTGGTTACATATTCACTAACATTGAAGGTATTTGTTGAAGCAGAACTGGTATCGACAATTCCTAGTAAATGATCTATAGGTAGAATAGGATCACGGCCAAACATGAGGAAATAAGGTGTGTATCCTGTGGAAGAATGAATCGTCGAGTTGTAAATGTAGACTAACTCGGATAGGTATTCTGGCCATTTCCGCTTCTGTTCTACAGAGAGAGTTCTGAGCAAGTTGTGCATAGTTCTGTTGTAACGTTCAACCTGACCATTGCCCTCGGGATGATATGGAGTAGTTCTACTTTTCGCTATATGATACATGTCGCACAATTCCTTCACAATGTTACTTTCAAAATTCTTCCCTTGATCGCTATGTATACGACGAGGAATGCCAAACTTGGAAAACCAATCCTTCAACAGTACTTTGGCTACCGTAACCGCTTTCTGATCCTTGGTAGGTATAGCCTGTGTAAACTTACTGAAAATGTCAGTGAGAACAAGAACATTTTCCCTTCCATCTGAAGCAGGTTCCATGACAGTGAAATCGATTGCAAGTATTTCCTGAGGTTGGTAAGCTAACAAATTGGAAATTGGCGTCCGAATGTTAGGAAGAGGAGCTTTAGCTATCAAACATCTTTCACATTTCTTGCAGTGTGATTCAACATCCTTAACCATGGTCGGCCAGTAACAGCGCTTACGAACTAGAGATAAAGTTCGTTCGTTTCCTTGGTGTCCAGCGTTATTATGTAATGATTCTAACACATGCTGTTTCAACACTGTTGGAAGAACAATCTGTTGAATAGGTCCAATTTCTGATTCCATCCTTCTATACAAGATGTTATCATCAAAGTGTAACCGATCTCGCTGTTTCCATAGCTTCCTAACGTCCGGTTTTTCCAGTTTTAATTGATCAGCAGATGGTTTGATAGAACTTCTCAACCAATGAATGACTCGACCAATCACAGGGTCAAATTCTTGTAGTGAGGTTAATTCAGCGATCTCATAACCAGGAAATGAGTTGGTAGATTCTATCGTGGCTAATTCTGCATGAACAGAGCTCATTCGCACAGTGGTAACAGGTAAAGGTCCATCCAAGACATTCTTAAGAGGGAAACTACAAACAATATTCTGAATTGTTGCTTCAGAATCACAAGTCACAGTCCTAGACTTCGGAACAGGTCTTCGACTCAATGCATCTGCATTACGATTCGATTTTCCAGAACGGAATTTGACCTGAAAGTCAAACTGTGCTAACTGACTTGCCCATCTCATCTCAGTAGCTCCCAACTTAGCTGTCTGTAAGTAGTTCAGTGGATTATTGTCTGTATAGACTACAAAACGAGATCCTAACAAATAATCCCGGAATTTTTCGGTCACTGCCCATTTCAAAGCAAGTAGCTCCAACTTCATTGAGCTGTAGTTGTTCATGTTCTTTTCTTGAGGTCTAAGAGTTCGTGATGCAAACGCAATGACAACTTTGCCTTTGTCTTGTTGCTGGGATAAGACTGCACCTAGTCCATCCATACTAGCATCAGTTTCTACGATGAATTCACGCTTGAAATCTGGATATCCAAGTATTGGCGAGGATGTGAGTTTCTGTTTCAAGGTTTCAAATGCATCATCACAATGTTTCGTCCAAGATTCCTTAATTGATGTTTGTTTTAATTTCTTTCTCTTTGATGACTTTCCACCAGATACAAGTTCATGCAATGGTCTAGCAATTTTGGAAAAGTCTTTCACAAAGCGTCGATAGTATCCAGCTATTCCTAAGAATGATCGTAGCTCTTTCTCACTAGTTGGTTTAGGCCACGATTTGACAGCATCAATTTTCTCGGGATCTGTAGAGATTCCTTCAGAAGAAACAATGTGTCCGAGATATTTTACGGATTTTTGAAACAGTTTGCACTTAGACGGCTTCATTTTAAGTCCATGCTGTTTGAGTTTCGTAAATACAATGTCAAGTCTTTCCATATGCTCTTCAATGGTGTTAGAAAAGACTAAAATATCATCAAGATAGAGTAACAGAATTTCAAAGTTTTCTTCACTAAAACAAGCCTCCATAAGTCGCTGGAATGTCGCTGGAGCGTTACACAATCCGAAAGGCATTCGTAAATATTCGTATAACCCTCCAGTGCCCACTCTGAATGCTGTTTTCTGAATTGATTCTGTGTCCATCTCCACTTGGTGATACCCTTGAGCTAAGTCAATAGAACTGAAGTATTTGGCGCCGTGTAACAGGTCCAGAGTCTCTTCGATTCTTGGAAGCGGATATGCATCCTTAATGGTCTTCTTATTCAGTTGTCGATAATCGACACATAGTCTAATACTTCCATCCTTTTTGCGTACAATTACGATAGCTGATGCAAAAGGACTTGTGCTTTTTCTGATGATTCCTTGGTCTAGAAGTTTACGTATATGTTGTTTAACTTCTTCCAATTGATTAGGTGGTATCCTTCGGTGTGGTACACGGATAGGAACTTCGTCATTCAATTTGATGGAATGTTTGATCAATGAAGTTTGTCCTAAATCAAGATCATCTTTACAGAAAGAGTCGGAATGTTTCTTCAATAGAGCGTCAAACATTTTCCTTTGGTCTTCAGTAAAGTTTACATCACCAATGTTCAGCTTGATGTCAGATTTCACATTCTGTTCACATTTTTCTACAGTCATTTTGCGAATTACCACTTCCTTGTCGGTGAATTCTATATCATAGTTGTCACTTGTTGACCTCAAAGAATCTACGCTGTGTAATGTTCCAATTCTGCTCTTGGCTTTCAGCCAGACATCTTCACTTCCCATATTGACAATACGCACAAACACTTTTCCCATGCACACATTACTTAGAGTATCTATTACAGAAATATTTCTAGGTAGGGCTCCTGTCGATCCCTGAATAGCTTGAACTGCTGCTGCGTATTCTTCTCCTGTCTTGTTGTGCCGTGTTGACCCAATAACGACTTTCATTGAGTAAGCAGGTATACGTACATCATCCTTCCCTGCGACCTTCACAAAAGCTATACGATCACACTTACTGTCCATTTCAAAAACTGTTTTCACTCTGTTCCAATTTTCCTTATCGGGGAAATTAGTGTCATCAGTGTCACATATTTCATTTGTAATGTATTTCAATATGTTACAGCCAAGAATTCCTTCGATTGGTTTAGAACTAATGTCTCTGGAGACTAGAAATCCAACATTGTGAAATTTAACGCCACAAACTTCAAGATCAAGTTCGATATATCCTAAATAAGGAATGTCAGTATTGTTGGCTGCTACCAATTTCAGAAGTTGCGTGGTGTCATTGATTTTCACTGATGAAAAATGTTTCTCATATACAGTCTCCGGAATGGTCGACACTTCTGATCCTGTATCAAGAAGAAAAGTCATTTCAATCCCGTTGAGATTCACTTTTGCTTTTGGACATTTTGAAAATACATTATTTGCATTCTGAAGTTTATTCACAGTTTTTGAGTCGGTGTGATTACATTGCCACTCATCAGTATGACTCTCTACTGTGAGTGTTTGCCTTTTGGGTCCTTTGATTCTGTTTTCCCCTTTGAATCCTTGTTAGGGCACTCATTTTTCTTGTGTCCTTCTTGTCCACATCCAAAACATGTCACCACGAATTTTCTTCCTCTGCCTCGTCCACGACCATATCCTGAAAACTTTCCTCTATTTGACTGAGACATCTTGGTTAGAATGTCAATTTGTTTTTGTTGCTGTTCCAATAGATCCTGTTGTTTCTTCAGAATCTGTAGAAGTTCTTGATTTGAAGTCAAACACTCGACACTTTGTTTGTTTACTTTCGCTACTGTTTCTGCATTCGGTTTGTCGTCAACCCACTGAAGAATTTGTCCTCTGAATTCTAGAAATGGCATTTTGGAATGTTCGAATGCAAACTTTCGTAATTCTCGTTTTAACTGTGGATCATGCACACCATCAACAAATTTGTCTATTAGAATTTTATCAAAATGTTTCATATCACTTCCTTCTTTCTTAGCGATCCTAGTTGCCATCTTCAGTAGAGCTAATGAATACGTTTCTATGGTTTCATTTTCTTTCTGTACTCTTTCGTAGAAAGTTTGTCTTAATTGCGAAACAGTTTCTTGTACGAGATATACACTTTCAATGATCATGAAAATGTCGTCTGGTGTTTTCTTACTCTCTGCTGGTCTAAGTCTCACTTCGCTTTTTGCGGCTCCTTCCAGATGATCTAGAATAAATTCAATTTTCTTTTCATTGGATTGAATACTTTGTAAATGTTCACGCATGTCCATTAACCAGTCCTCGACATCTGGATCAGAGTCTTTTACAGGTCTTCCAGAGAATTTCGGTAATTTTCTCTCAGTCCTTATGTATACAGGTTGTGGAGGAGGTTTAGCACTTGCCAGGTCCCACAATTGTTTCTGTAATTTTTCCACTTCAGCCTGGACTTGTTCGACTTCCATTTTGAGTGAATCAATATGATAGACAGTTTGTGCGAAAATGTCAAAATGGTGACAATCTAAATTACTCACTATATGTAAGCTAATCTAAATCATGATTATCAATATGAATGGAAGAATACAACAGAGTTCAACATCAGTATTATGCTGCTCTGGTCTGTCTCCTGGTCCACCAGTCACATCACCATATCTGTACCTCTGAGAATCCCACCGCTGCCACCATTGTAAGAAACTGGATTCTTTTATTCTCTCTTAACTTTATTCATCAAGTATCATGAGTAGTACAGGTGATATAAAGGTGATGGATCCCAGATAGGGAAACACTGGTACATCAGAACGTCCTCAACAGACAAACAGACTAGTGTGACACTGTAGAATTGACTGATCTATAAAGTTCTTCTCTACAGGAGTCTTTGTTTCAAAAACAATTCACAAATGGCGCACACGAGAAAAATAATCTCAATGAACAATGGTGACCAAGTTTTTACATTAATTCAAAAACTTCTCTTTCAAAACCAATATCATATTCTAAATGGAAATAATGTGAAATATAAGTTACAATATTTTCATTACTATGAAATTACACAAAACCTATTATACCTAGTTGCATTATTTGGAGAGTATACAGATTAAAAAAATTTCATTACGTAACATCTTTTCAATGACACTGAACGTAATCCGCAGTGGTCAAGTGGTTAACGCAGAGCTCCTTGAACAACAAATCACGACAACCCTGGTTCAAATCCCAGTCGTGGTAAAAACTTTTTTTTTTTCTTTTCTATATATATACATAAAATTTGTTTTAAAATATACAACTCTTACAGCACAAAGAAAACAGCAGGAAGTAACAAGAGGCGATGCTAAACACCAGGTATTCCACATTCACTTAGAGCTATATTCCAATGTTACATATTTCCAATGTTACATATACATGTTGAAATAAAATTACATAAATAAAAATCATACTTAAAAAATCATACTTAAAAAAGGTATTTAATAATACATGAGACGCCTGGGCATGGATTTACAGCAAAGAGCAACAAAAAACGGTGCTCCAGTACATATTAGTCCACTCTTGCGGAGTGCAATTAATACATAAACAACACATATTGATAATGTATAAAATCCCACTACATGACTTTGTGATATATACATGTGTATCATAAAAAAAATCACCCATAACTTATGAGCCTAGCAACTGACAAGGTATGCAGAGAATATGATAGTCTTCACAATTCAATAGCCAATGAAATTTATTAATATTTTGTCAGTGTTAAATCATTTAATGAGTAACATTTCTTAAAAACCATGACGCTACAAATCTGCAGTTATACATAACGTAATCATATATACTTATACTCGCTTACATGGAATAACCTTTCACATTAAACCAGCAAAAATTTTCATTTATCAATTTATTAATATAATGTATTTTTTAAAGCAAACTTTGGGCCGTACGTCTCAAACTTTTTCAAAAGAAGATCAGCTCAGGCAATCCTGAATGCCCTTTTTTCTGTTGACACATTCTTTGTGTTGAGGTAGGCTTACATTAAATAAAACATTCTGAGGAAACTTTATTTCTGGCACAAATAAAGCATGATTCTGAAATTAAATTTTCAGAAATATGTTCAATATTTCTTTGTTCTTTAGAAAAAATGTTTTGTTTTCCAGCGGACTACTAACATCATATTTGACTCTGAAACAGATGAGTAAAGTAAAGGGAAAAATAAACTGGTTTCTGTTTTACTTTCATCGCTTTTGGAGGTCAGTCTAAAAAGCTCAATTGTGTTCTTCAACCAGATTTTTTTTTTATTTCATTATTATTTTTTTTCAATTTTTCGTCTACGATTTCCTTGAACAAGAAAACAAAGAACCACGAACGATAGTATTGTTCTCCCGTCTACCTGTAAGTCAATTCTCAAAAGTTAACATATTCGAATGATTTTCAAAGTTTTTATAGATATTTATATGAATTTTCATAAAACGTTACTTATTTGGGATACCAAAGAGAGATAACTCTATAATTTTGGTAAAACTTCTGTTTTCCACTATAGAAATCAACGAAAAATGGAAAATATTTTTAAAACATCTTCCCCCCCCCCCCCCCGTGAAACATAAATTCCTTTTTACAGGTAATATGGACTGTTATTTTACAGATTTTGGCCAAAGCTTTTTGTGTTTCACGGGGGGAACATATGTTTACAGACAAAAAACGACAAAAATGCTGATTTTTCACCAATTTTAAAGCTATTTACAAATAAATTATGGTATTTTATTAATTTATATATGTTTTATTTATTTGCATAAAACATAAGAAAAGATATGAGAAACATTTTATCAGATTTAAGACTATTTAAAAATATGGTGATTCTTGAAAGTTCGATTTCACTAGAAAATATCGTCTACCCCCCTTTTTTCGAGAGCTTGAATTAATAATAATTTACTACCTAGCACTGGAATTAAAATGATTAATCAATTACCATAGAAGTATACTTTGTATTATACAAAGAATTAATGGCCATATTGCCATTAACATTGAATTTAATGGGTGCAAAATGTAGGCGGGAATCAAGAGTTAGAGTTCGTAGTTCTTGCCACAAGGCCTGTCTCGTACATGTATGTGTTTACCACTGTCGTATTTGACGTTTATATTATTCTTATTACTTTAAAATTCTCAATGTTCATATTGGAGTTTTTTAGGTCACCTGAGTAAACTCAGGTGACCTATTGCTATCCGTTTTCGTCCGTCGTTCGTCGTCCGTCGTGTGTTAACATTTGAAAATTTTCAGCTTCTTCTCTGCAACCACTGAACCAATTTCAACCAAATTTGGCACAAAGCATCTATGGGTGAAGGGGAACAAAAATTGTGAATTTCATGATCCCTGCCCCCCTGGGGCCTGATGGGTGGGGCCAAAACCACTAAAATTAATGCAATCTTTAAAAATCTTCTTCTTTACTCCTGGACATCAAGCAGTCAAACTGTTTGCATAATTGTAATCAGCATTGAGTCCTTTACCAAAATTGTGAAATTCATGGCCCTGGGCTCAGGGGTTCTAGTGCTAGGGCGGGGCTAAATAAGTATATAGTGAAAATGCATTATTTCTTTGGAAATCTTCTTCTCTACTCCTGGGTATTAAATAAACCAACTAAGTACATAGTTATGATGAGCAAGAGTGCCTCTACCAAAATTGTGAATTTTATGGCCCCAGGGTCAGGGGTTCTGGTGTTAGGGCGGGGCTCTATTGATTATATATAGTGAAAATACATGAATTCTTTGAAAATCTTCTTCTCTGCCCCTGGGTTTTAAATATACTAACTAAGTGCATAGTTATGATGAGCATGAGTGCCTCTACCATAATTGTGAATTTTATCGCCCCAGGGTCAGGGGTTCTGGTGTTAGGGGGGGGGGCTCTATTGATTATATAGTGAAAATACATGAATTCTTTGAAAATCTGCTCCTAGGTATTAAATAAATCAACAAAGTGCATAGTTATGATGAGCAAGAATGCCTCAACCAAAATTGTAAATTTTATGGCTCAAGGGTTCTGGTGTTAGGGCGGGGCTCTATAGATTATATATAGTAAAAATACATGAATTCTTTGAAAATCTTCTTCTCTGCTCCTAGGTATTAAATAAACTAACTAAGTGCATAGTTATGATGAGCAAGAGTGCTTTTACCAAAATTGTGAATTTTATGGTCCCAGGGTCAGGGTTTCTGGTGTTAGGGCAGGGCTCTATTGATTATATATTGAAAATACATGAATTCTTTGAAAATCTTCTTCTCTGCTCCTAGGAATTAAATAAACTAAATACATAGTTATGATGAGCAAGAATGCCTCTTTTAAAATTATGAATTTTATGGCCCCAGGGTCAGGGGTTCTGGTGTTAGGGGGGCGGGGCTCAATTGATCATATAATGAAAATACATTAAATCTTTGAAATTTTTTTTCTTTGTCTGTGGGTATAAAGGGCCCTACTCTTGCAGAATTGTGAATTTCAAAGGCCCAGGGTCAGGGGTGGGGTGGGGGCTCTACTTATATACTGAAAATGAATTTATTGTTTGAAATCTGCTCTTTTGTATTTATAAAACATTTATTTATTTTTTGATATTAAGGGTGTCTTTTTGAAATTTGTGCAATGTGTGGACCTAGGGTCAGGGGTTTATGTCACAGTGTTAGGGGCACTACTGGTTAGTTGGAATGCATTTTTGTTCCCCTACCCTGCATATGGGTATTCAGTAACCAAGCTAAGCAACTGCTAAGTGTATTGTTATGATGATCAATGGTGCCTCATTCAAAATTGTGAATGTCATATAGCATCTGGCTTAAAACATGAATCAAATTCAATAACTGGAAAATTGTTGCATAATGCTCAGGTGACCTACAAGGCCCGTGGGCCTCTTGTTTTATTTACAATCGACGATTGACTTCAGAATCTGCAATTACACGGTGTAGTACCTAAACAGTTGCTATCGGAACAAAATAGCGTTCAGTGTTGCTATTCGAAATTTGTACGGCTACTATCAGAAATAAATATGTTGGAGTCTCTTGGAACAAGTTGTAAAACTATGAAATCGTGACCCCAAATCAATATAGCCATTGCAAAAACCAGGTGCACGGAACAAGTAAGGCATTTCTATAAATGTTGCCATGTGTATTTTGCAAAATTGTCCTCTAATAATTTAGAATTAGTAAAATCTCTGAAGTCTGTATCAAATCTCAAGTCAATACTCACACATTTTTAATGCGTTTTTAAATCATCTATTATTCAGGTTGTGTTAATTGTGGTATGTGAAGATGCGTCAATTTATAATAATACTTACATATGATTAAAAATATTTAAAAGTGTATTTTGAAAGAGATTTTTGGATGAAATTCGATTTTTTAAAGTTACGGTTGCTATCAGAGTCTTAGCATATATTGCACCGGCTATAAACTGAAAACATCTCATCGGTTGCTATTTGAAAATTACTCTTATTTCCATCAATCAAATATTAAATAAACTTATGGTAGCAAATGCCTAAAATATACATGTTAAATATCCCACATAGCATGTGAAATACGATTCCTATTATATATACAATGGACTTTTACCAACTTAACTCAGGGACGTAACTTCGATTTTGAAAGCCGGGCGGGGGGGGGGGGGGGGGCAGAAAAGTTCAAATCTATAAAAGAACTGACATGGAAAAAAGGAAAATTGTCGAACTTCTTTCAGTAACATTTTTTTTTCACGCGCTAGCGCCTATCCTTCTTTGATTATACTGAAATAAAAAGGTTGTGTGTGTAGGGGAGGGGGTAACTGTATGCTTGAAGAAAGTCAACAGGCCTTTCAATAAACATTTTAAAAATAAAGGTTATGCTTTGAACAAAATGGGGGGGGGGAGGGCGGATATGCCTGTTACTCGAATGTATACACGCAATATTCAAAACATCGATCCCCCTCGTCCTATTAAGATTTTCTCGAGTTCTTTAATTTACCTAGGTAAAAAAATGAAAAACCCAGTCCTCCCCCCCCCACCCGCCCAAAAAGAAAGAAGGGTTTTTAAGATAGACGGCTTCCACTTCTTTTTGACGTCAAATTTCTTGTAAATTGACTTAACATTTTTTCAATAAATACATAATTTTGGACTTTTTGAGAGTTGGACAATACTACAGCAATTGTTTAGTTACAGAAAATGTTCTTAACAAAAAAAGGGGAAAGAGGGGCAGACCCCCCCTCCCCATTTTCCTTAAACAAACATGTACATCATATGAACATACACAAAACGTGGACGATAATGTAAGCTAATATGTAAATACATTATTGTCTACGTTTTGCTCTTATGTGTATTGTGCACTTTACTGGAGTAATTATCGACGTTGGACACTGATCAAAACTTTATGTGAGGTTTATTCATTTTTCAATTCAGATTTTTTTTTTATCAGATAGAGATTAAAAATATGTAGGTTTATGTTTGGATATGTAGGCTAAGTAAACATTCCAGAAAAAAGAATCTCCCCTGGTTTGTGGTTCGATAATTATGATTTTTTGAATTCCAAAACTTTGTACTGTTGTTTTTTTTTTATCAATTTGACTAACACTTCCTATTCGTGGATAACAAAATGTTATCAATCCACAAACCTTAAAAATCCGTGCATTTTATCAATCTGGCATAATTACACAGTTGGAATATAATAAATTCAATGGTCACATGAATTAATGCTAACAGTTTTGCGCATGTATCATAGGCGTCGGAAGCAAATTGAAAGGGGGCGGGCTAAACAAATAAACCATAGATTCGCCCCAGTTTTCAATGCCTATTAGGCTATATTATGTATACATGTATCTTTACAAAAAAGTGGGAAGGCTAAGACCCCCCCCCCTCCCCGTTCCGACGCATATATATGTGTACAGTGTGCATGTACATAGAAACTCCACTTTTCAAGTCATACATATAAACATAAGATCGAAAGTAACATATACATGGCAAGTCAATCATTTAGAAAGAATATAGAAGGAACATTTAGAATATAGTTTCCTTAACTATAATTGCATAACAGATGTAAATTGAGGATGTGATTTCATAAAATTTGAAAACTTAAACCTTTTCCAATAGTAACCGGTGCTGTTGTCTAATAGTAGCCGTAACATGAGTTTCTCCTAATAAAAACGCTCTAGATTTTAAGAAACCAATCAGAGAGGGCAATGTTATAAAATAACCAATAACATTAACAAATACACAACGAACTGTCGATTCACTTTTAACAAATATCTAAAAATTTTGACGTAATTTCAATATATTTCTTACGTGCATGTAAATGTTATCAACGCTTTCGACATTTTTCGTCTTGTATATAAGCAATCCTTTAATTCATTGAAATTCTAAATATACACGTTAGTTTTAAAAGTTATGTTGCGTTCCGTAAGGTTGAAATACCAAGCAGCTAAACTTTAATAATTGAATTATTAAACATTTTGTTGAGCCAGCGAAGAAAAACACTTACAATTTCGTCCATTTTTTTCCACTAGCAACCGCTCAAATTTCGGATAGCAGTTAAGAACGCGCAATTTTTTCTGATAGCAACCGTTTAGGTACTACACCGTGAATTAAAAGGGACAAACTCCAACTAATAAAATAGTATATTAACAAAAACCAAAGGCTCTGTCAAGACTGTAGCTCTACTGCTTTATACTTATAACAAAGGATGAGAAAAGAAGCCATTGTCATCAGCCCAAAACTGTAGAAGGAGTAACGTTTTAAAGGAATTTCACATACATATCTATTTTTAGTAACAATGGCAACACTGTTGTTCATCGAAATCAAAAACCGATGCACTATTTTATGTATCTTAGAGTAGTCTACTTATGTGCCAAGTAATATTGAAATCAGACCAACACTGTAGAAGGAGTAGCGTTTTAAAGGAATTTCACAGAATATTCTATTTTTAGTAACCATGACAACACCGTTCGTCGAAATCAAAAACTGATGCACTATTTTATGTATCTCAGTGTAGTCTACTTTTGTACCAAGTAATATTGAAATCAGACCAAAACTGTAGAAGGAGTAGCGTGTTAAAGGAATTTCACAGAAAATTCTTTTTATAGTAACCATGGCAATACCGTTCATCGAAATTAAAAACCAATGCACTATTTTACGTATCTTAGTGTAGTCTACTTATGTGCCAAGTGAAATCAGATCAAAACTGTAGGAGGAGTAGTATTTAAAGGAATTTCACAGAAAATTCTATTCTTAGTAACCATCAAAATAATAAACTGATGCGAAATAGAAAAAAACTGATGCACTATTTTATGTAACTTGTGTAGTCTACTTGTGTGCCAAGTTATATTAAAATTAGACCAAACCTGTAGGAGGAGTAGCGTTTGGAAAAATTGTTTACAGACAGACAGACGGACGGACGACGGACACCTTACTATTGCATAAGCTCTTCTGGTCTCTGGCCAGTAGAGCTAATGAAGACACATACTCATATAATAAATTAGAAAGCAAAACAAAGGATGGGGTATTAGCCTCTGTCTTTAAGCCTATCCCCCAGAACCTATACAAAGAAACACGCAATGCATATACAAAGTATGGTGTATATCTAGTGCAATAAATACAAAACACTTAAATTATCGTGTTTTTAGCTCTACTGGTCAGAGACCAGAAGAGCTTATGCGATAGTAATGCGTCCGGCGTCCGTCCGTCTGTCTGTCTGTAAACAATTTTTCAAAATGCTACTCCTCCTACAGTTTTGGTCTGATTTCAATATAACTTGGCACACGTAGACTACACTAAGATACATAATTCTGTGTATCGGTTTTTGATTTCGACGAACGGTGTTGGCGTTGTTACTAAAAATAGAAATTTCTGTGAAATTCTTTCAAAATGCTACTCCTCATACAGTTTTGGTCTGATTTCAATATAACTTGGCACACAAGTATACTACACGAAGAAACATAATTCTGTGTATCGGTTTTTGATTTCGACGAACGGTGTTGGCGTTGTTACTAAAAATAGAAATTTCTGTGAAATTCTTTGAAAATGCTAATCCTCCTACAGTTTTGGTCTGATTTCAATATAACTTGGCACACAAGTAGACTACACTAAGATACATAATTCTGTATATTGGTTTTAGATTTCGATGAAATGTGTTGCCGTGGTTAGTAATTATAGATATTTCAGTGAAATTTTTTCAAAATGCTACTCCTCCTACAGTTTTGGTCTGATTTCAATATAACTTGGCACACAAGTAGACTACAATAAGAAACATAATTCTGTTTATCGGTTTTTGATTTCGACGAACGGTGTTGGCGTTGTTACTAAAAATAGAAATTTCTGTGAAATTCTTTCAAAATGCTACTCCTCCTACAGTTTTGGTCTGATTTCAATATAACTTGGCACACAAGTATACTACACTAAGATACATAATTCTGTGTATCGGTTTTTGATTTCGACGAACGGTGTTGGCGTTGTTACTAAAAATAGACATTTCTGTGAAATTCTTTCAAAATGCTACTCCTCCTACAGTTTTGGTCTGATTTCAATATAACTTGGCAGACAAGTAGACTACACTAAGATACATAATTCTGTATATCGGTTTTTGATTTCGACGAACTGTTGGCGTTGTTACTAGAAATAGAAATTTCTGTGAAATTCTTTCAAAATGCTATTCCTCCTACAGTTTTGGTCCGATTTTATTTTAACTTGGCACACAAGTAGACTATACTAAGATACATAATACTGTGGATAGGTTTTTATTTTGATGAGCGGCAAGGATCATTTTTCTTTTTATTGCTTTTTTAAATTTTCAGGTCCCAACTACTACATTTCTATTCCTTTGTTTTAAGTATAAACCAGTACAGCTACAGTCTCGACAGAGACTTCTGGTTACTGGTAGTTTTAAGAGAATCCTTGTACATCACGATAATGATTTCTCTTCTTGCAGCCAACCCTGAACAATTAATACAATTCAGCGGATTTTTCTTCTTTTTTGCCTGCAAACACTACTTAATATTTCATCACGCTTTCGTTTACAAATAGATCATCGAACAACATATCTATTTAATAAAAAGATGCGATAAACATATTTTGTCCCCAAGTAACATCAGAGCTGATTAAATGTCGATGAATTTGATTTTTCAACAGACTTCCAATTACATAAATTTGTTTTAAAGTTGGAATTGGTTCCTTTGAAATGTCAACGTCAGCTGTGGAAAGTAAAATAAGTCTGATCATAAAACTTTATTACAGTGTGCATGTATTGAATCAAATAAATGGCACCGGGTATAATTCTTTTTTTATTGTAATTTCTTGTAATATCCACCACCATTAATAAACTTTCTTACTTAATTCAAATATCTTGAAGACTGACACCAGCTTACATGATGTTAATAGCAGTAGCAGTGGGAGTCGCACACCACGTGGTTAATGGACCAAATGCACCAAAACCCGATACAGTCTGTCCTAAATACTGGTGGTGGAATCTCCTCTACATCAACAACTTTGTTGACAGTTCCGCAAATCTGGTGATTAAAAAAATCAAACCAAATAGTCTCGCTTTACCTTGCTTCTAACTTTGGGTTTGAGTAAATAAAGCTTCTATGAAACTCAACATGTTAAGGAATTAAATTCTAAAGCAATACAATATGTTATTTCCTATTTCAGTTACTAGCTGTAATTAATAATTTCAGAAATTTAAATGAAAATTACACATCATTGCTTGTTCAAAGTACCTTTTCTTGTAATCAGTCATTTTTCTTGTGTTGTGCATGTTGTAGTGTTTAGGATGGTCATGGTATCTGAATAATGACATGCAGTTCTACATCTTAAGTCCAGCTATGATTGTACCGTTGTTTTTGTAAGTTGTGAGATCTATAAATACTTAATATGAGTACACTATATAAATATAAAAAAAATAGATTATTTAAATATAATATCCCTACATCTCTTAATGTCAAAAAAAAAAATAATACTGAAATATTTATCGCATAATGTTATGATATTATACATCTTACAGTAAAGACATAATTGGTATCATCTCCTGTGGTATATTTCTTGCGGCTACGACGATCACCACTGGTGTGTTAAGTCACCACTACAGCTGGAATCCCTTGGTTGTTGGGGGTGGCAAGCATCCAGGGTACGTCACGATGAAGTGTCTGTTTACAAAATAAACCATCTGAATGTTAGACAGTAATAACTCTACAAAAACTTTAAATTCAAAACAATTATTTTAGTATTTCTTTATAATTAATAGGGATGTCAAATCGGTCAATTTTCAATACTCGGTTACTCGGACGTCTTTCCGATCTAGTACCCTTGTACTCGGTTAAAGTGTAAATTAATATAAACAAGTAAATTGATGACAGCAAAACATTGCAAACTATTGTAGAAATAAAACCACACGCCCTGAAAGGAGGTTTAGTACCCGTAAATGTATTTCTATAACAATGATGAGCTTTTTGGCAAACGAAGTTTGTTATAAAATTTTGTAAGTTCAATTTATTTATCAGATAAACACAAGAAATAAAATCATCAGTGGTTCACGGTGTTTTTGTTTTTAAAATAATAATATGCTCCGTAACTGTTTGTTGCGTTTGACGTCGTCAGAGCTACGTATGTTGTAACAACTTGAACTTGATCAAGTTCTCCTAACAGAGCGGATTTACGATTTTCGTACACTTTTTCGATCCTAGATTTATAGTATTACGGGACGGTATTTTTTAGTTTGGTGCAACGATGTACAACAGTTTTATAAAGTCTTTGCCCTCAACCATTTGTATCGGCATGTAATCAAACACAACCATATCAACAATCGCACGTGTAATATCATCTGTTTCTTTTCCTGAGAATTTACGGCTTCTCGGATAATTGACAAAATTATTTAATTTATTTAAAAATAATAGACCTGAAACGATGTTCAGGGAAAACAATTTAAGCAAACCAAAAATTGGGTAGAAGATGGCCGAAGGTGAAAAAGCCAGGTAGCAGGCGCTTGGTCACGATAATTACTGTATAAACACTGCGGCAGGCGCGGTTAACCGGGTTCTCGTTGACATCCCTGATAACTAACATATTCTTCACATTCTGACAAAATTATAATGTGCAAGATTAGAGTATTCTCAGATTGCAATTGTTTTCCCTCCAGTGGTGATGTATTCAAGGACTACTACATTAAACCCTACTGTAGAATGGGTCCATATATTTGTGGAATATTTACTGGATACCTATTGTACAAATTCAAGAATAAATGCCAAATCAATATTGTAAGTACCTAATACCCCCCCCCTAAAAAAAGGAGAGAAATTCATAAATTCAAAAAAGAAAATTAGAGATAATTTTAGTACAATGGTAATAATAAATTGTTATTAAGATTGAAATTGTTGCTTTGTATATTTGCACTAAAAAATTCAATGATCTTTTCTTGAAAACCTTTTTTGCAGTTTGTAAATCTAGGAATTTGGGGAGTGGCAACAGCTTGTGCATCAGCAGCGCTGTATGGACTTTATGATGCTTTTAATGGTCATCCTTTATCCAACGAAGTTTCGTCTCTTTATAATGCTTTAAGCAGAACTGTTTGGGGTGCTGCTGTCTGCTGGGTTATCTTTGCATGCGCAACCGGAAATGGTGGTATGAACATATTAAATGTACATGTACTGATCTATTTTAAATTATAAAGGCTTTCAAAGGAGAATTTTAATTTTTGAAAATTCGTTTTTATCTTGATTATATTGCTTTAGTGCAATACGTTAATGTACTTTGAAGAAGATTAATGTATTCTTCAAAGTTCATAAACCCTCGAGCTCTGCTAACTCATATAAAATGTTGTTTGAACATTAATGATATTCCAAAAGAAATGTATTTAATGAGTAAAATACAAACAATTATAGCATAGCTTGCGTGATTAGAAAAGACACTTCAACTTGGCAAATCTATAAACGAATAAATGTCATTTATGTCATTAAGAGTTATCTCTCATCAGAATATTAATGAACCTTAATTTGCGAATATCTGTTATAAAGACATCCCTGATAAGTAAATACCTGCAAGATGAAGATATTTATTAGAGATCCTCATTTATTTATTTTTACTACTTCTGTTTATATTTTAAGTCGAAATTTTTATGTAAACTTTGATTCATTCAAAACTGTTTAAAGATATGTATGCCGTATTTTTGCACAGCTGAAACCAAACAAAAATTTCTGAAGTATGATAAGCTATCAAAAATGAAGCATTCTCTCAAATTCGACGAAATATTATTCGGTATTAACAAAGTACTGGTCGGGAAAAACACAAGATTTTCTCATGCATATTTATGAAGGACTGACGTTTATATTGGATCTGCGCATGTGCGCGGGAAAAGCATCACGAGAATCATCCGGTCGAGGAAGCTATATTTTGTGACGTCTGTTCAGCGAGGAACCAAAAAGACTGACAAATCGACCAATCAGCTCAATGAGTTGTATTTAATGCATTTATGGGTTACTACTCAGTACATAAATACTTCATGTGATTTTCGAACAGGCTAGTTTTTTTTAATAGCTCTTAACAAGACGTGGTACATTTCCCAAGCATTTACACGCTTAATGCATTATGTACATTATCATATGAAAATCCCATGCTAACATTTGCATACAAATGAACAATGATAAAAATAAGAGTTTCCCCCACTCTATTGTACAGGTCCGTTTGTTTACAATTTCCCCGTGCTCTACTGACAGTAAAAAGACAATTTCACGTGACTATACTAGTATATTCCTCGGTACAAAAAGCAACTAACTCTGAGGTGTGCTCACGTATTGACAATGTTTACAATGTGTACAACTTCGAAACATACAGTATGCTAACAAGAAAAACTGCATTTGTTTGTTAATGTGAGCATGGGAATTCTCAATTAGTAACTATTCTTCCTATTTTTCGAAAACAGGTTTTTAAAAAAAAATATAAATTGGCTTTCCAGCCGTCAATTGAACTCGCACCGTACAATTCCTTAGCCCACGTGTTTGTAGTGAAAACGTAGTAGACCATCATGCTTTTCGGCTCATTCACTAGATTGGACCATTGTTTGCTGTGAGCATGCGAGACCACGTGTTCATGAATATTTCAATAAGAGGCGGTTTAATATCCGATTCGGAGAGAAAATAATTTTTACAAAATAATATTTCATAACTTTTAAAAGTGATGGTGTGGAATTGTCTTAATTGCAGAAATTACATAACTTATGTAACTTGATGAGACACCACATATATTTATTTCTTTAGCAATAAAACACTAATACGGCATATATATCTTTAAACTATTGTTAAAGGTAAACTAAGCATAAAATCAAACATAAATTTTTATTATTTATATGTACGTTGCTTAAACAGGGCCGATCAATACGATCCTTTCTTGGAAAGTATTGGTGCCATTGTCCAGACTGACATACTGCGCCTATCTCGTACACCCATTAATAATATACGCCTACAACGGGAGTCACCCTCAAACAATCTATCTAAGTGATATTGACCTCGTGAGTAATATTTTAATTTTAAGTTTGATAAAAGTTTATTTCATAGTTTTTCATTTTGAATGTAAGCACATGTACATGCGGTTGACGAAAAAGATGCAATTCATTTATACATGTTCACCAGACATGGTTCTTTGTTAAGATGTCTGTGTCAAATGCTTTGCTCCCGATTTGCATTGTCTCATTGTGCCTTGAGCTTGATAACTATTCACATCATATTCCATCCAAATTTTTGCTATTTTTTTTTGTTGTTTTATTTCAGATTTACAAGTTCATAGCAAACCTCGTGATTTCCTATGGAGTTGCGTTGGTTTTCTCGATATCTTTCGAGTCTCCTTTCATGGGTCTGGAAAAGGTCCTGCTGTCTGGTTTTTCCCAAAAAAAGTGAAAACAATCAACCTAAAAACAAAGTAAATGGAAATGCTGACATTTCTTGCAGTAACTTGAAGTAATTTCATTCAATAACGCATGCGTGTCGAGTTTTTTTTATTTTCAGTTTGAAAATCCATTTGATGAAACAATATATTTGAAATTAAAAAAATGTGTATATTTTATATTTATAGTAGGGGTGGGACGATACACAGATCTTGCGATACGATACGTATCTCGATATATTAGCACGATACGATACGTATCTCGATATTATGATATTAAACTATTATAAAAAAGTATTTTATTTCATTTTCTGTCTTGACATTAATTTAACTGTTACATGATAAATTATAAAACTATGCAAAAGAATTAGTATTTTATTTCAATTTGACATTAAATCAACAAATTATTCTTAGACTATATAAAATCATGTGTGCTTTGAAATTAATACTTAAAGTTCATCAATTTCATTGATTAAAACTTTATAAAAACAATAATACGTGTACAAATTATTGTTACCAAATTTCTATAAACAAGTTGTTTACAAACAGTTGAGTTGTTCATCAAAGAACACTGACTAAAATTTCCTACAAAAAACAGCATATTTACATTTTAATCAATTCCTGCATGTCTGTAGCCTAGTTAAGATTACAAAAAAGCACGAGATGGACTAACAATTAGTAATATCAAATGTTCTGGAAACGATGCTTTCTGTGTATAGCACACATTACATACTAAACTTTTCTTGTTCAATCTTCCGAGGCTGCTTAAAAGGGAAAATGTTTTACCCCTAATCAACAACTTATTAGTTCAACATTATGTTTTCAATATCATCATCGTCTTTTCGCTTCGTACAAGCCGCCATTTTCCAAGGACGAGTACTTTCATTTTCAATCTTTGGATAGGTCGTTCGTGTATCGTTTCGTACCGATATTTGAATGCTTGTATCGTAAACCGTATCTTAGAGGAAATCATTCTTTTGTTTCTACACTCTCGTATTTCAAAGAGGGTACTAGCTATAGTCCAATATTATTGTCAGGAGTACAATAGTATATCTAATATTGTACTCCAAAATAATACTGGACTGTGTGAAACAAAGGATTTTGCACAGCGAATGAAAAAGGGAGAATATAAACAAATATTATGCTTTTTATATAGAAGTCAACAATTTATATAGAAATCAACAATCTCGTAATCCAATTCAAGCAATGGAGCAATCAACATCTCGTAATCTAGTTTAAACTTTGAAAAAACCAATTTATGCAACGAAACTTCAAAATAGGAGTATCTCAGAAATCCAGTAGAATTTACACTCCGTCCAGACAGGTCACGAATTGTGAAACAACCGACATTGAAGCACTTATCTTAAACTTGTGGTTTTTCCGAAAACACATCCAAATAAATCCACGTAAAGTGGTCCATTGTAGAACATTACATTCGGACAAGTTTACACTCGATCTGTTAATATATCCCGTAGAACTCCGATTTTTTTTAACGGAAATTTTAATTTCACAATATATTTCCAAATTCGTTTACGTAAAGATGTGGTGCTTTCGATATCCAAGGGACAAAAACGGCACTTTAATTCCTGGAATTTATTTGCCTAATGGTCACTTACAATCTTCACACGTTAAAAAAAGATCCTTCACAATACTCTATGAATCGCTTATTATCCTGAAGTTGCTCAGCTCTTCTTAATGCGTCCGTAGAGTGTCGCAATGATAAATAATATATAATTGGGGTTCAATAAAGGTTTTTAAATCAAAATCTATTCATCCCTTTGAAAGAAATATCTGAAACCCTTAAGCACCCCATCCATCTGGTTTGGTCAACGTCACAAGTATCATACGAGGGGCGTTCAATAAATAATGTCATTGGGGCTCAGAAAGAAGCAAACGACGCTTTTCAATGATTTAGTTTCATGATTTTACTTATTAATCTATTTTAATTCAAACACATGTCCGTAACATTTTTTATCCAATTTCTGATTGTTTTAGAACTCATTTTTGGGTATGACCCTTAGTATACTGGAAAATGGCAGATCCAATGATTTCCTGGACTTGTTTTTCCTTCTGAAAGGTGTTTTATTCAAGTTTGGAAATAGAAACAAGTCAAAAGGTCAAAGATCTGGCAAATATTGTTAATGTGAAAAAACATTAACTTTCTGTTTATCCCGTAAACCCCTTTACTCTTTAGGGTATGCGGGTTTAAACGCTGTCATGAAGAAATTCAATGTAGTGGATTCCTGATTCTGGGTCCTTTCTCTGATAAACCTTTCGATTTCTTTGCAAAAAAACTGCTTTCTAGACACCTCCAGATATTAAACTGTCTCCCCGAATACGAATTTGAACAATAATACCACTAATATTTAACAAAATTGCATATAAATCTGTTTTTGTGCTCTTGCATACCTTTGCTCTTGACAGACCTTCGCCGTTTTTATCAAGTACATCTTATGGTAAATTTTGTTTTAATGCTTTAAGCAATAGATTCATGTTCCAATATCTGTTTGAATATAAAACAAACGTGGATTACTACAATTACTGATATTTTAAAATAATTGTTAAGACTTTTGTACACGCTGTCGTTTTCACTCATTTTTCAAAATACAGGGTGACCTTAGAGTACCAAGCTTTATTACTGTCAAACGTTTCTTAAAAACAGTGTAAACTACTCCCGATATGATGTCTATCAAGTTTGCTATGTGTCTTAAAGTCAATCATACAACATCAAATATTATTTGTTGAAATTTGGCAAACAGTACATAAGTTGTTATAATTTTTGTTGGCAAGGAGGGTACCCATTTTTAATTGCCATTATATAATTTTTTATCTTTGAAATCCACCTGCTAATTTGTCTATAAAACAGGCATCGGTTGCTGTAAATGTCACATATTTCAGTGAATATTTCTTTGGGATTTTTAACAAGTTTTACAGCAGCTTTAATGTAGCTTTTATTTTCACTCTAGTTTACTGATTCTTTACCATTCATTTATAATGCAGTGTCTCGAATAGCCCTTGTTTCCCAGCTTCTCACGATAAAACTATGTGATGAAAAGTGGTCACATAAACTGTTATAAATTCATTAAAGATTCAATAATGAGAGAAAGTCAAGCTTTATGTCATATGACTACTATGTTGTACGTCATCGAGCTAATGACATTATTTATTGAACGCCCCTCGTATTATGACAATAGCAATACAAAAGTGCATTGAAAAAATGTTTTAAGTAAGATACAAAACTCAGATGGTCTATTATGTCAGATACGGGACTGAGACTCGGTGCTTCGCACCTCTTCCCAGTCCCGTATCTGACATATTAGACCATCTTCGTCTTGTATCCCTTACTTATGTGGCGTTTACAGCATATGATTATGACAGTATCTGGTAATGCATCTAACCAAACATAAAAGTACACCAATATAGATCCTACATTATTAAGAAAAACTTGCAATTTTTTTAACTCATGAGTACTACAAAAGTCAATCTCCCATATAAACAATGAACACCTTGACTTCAATGAAGAGACTTTTTAAATAATAAAAATATCTTTAAATTAAGTTAAAAATACTTCTTCATGTATGCCTATAACATCTGCATACTTATTTGTTACATACAAAATGCTGCAATTATGAATGACAAACTTTCACAAAATTTTACTTACATTCACTCTTGATAATTTTCCGCCAACAATGGCTAGGAAATTACAAGGTGTGATCAGCATGCAACAGAGTGGCCCATGTGACATCATTGAAATCATCCTGTCACAAGGACTAAGTATGTGAAGTGTGAAAGCTCTAGCCCTTATCCTTCAAAAGTTATAGTCAAGGTTTGTTTTAAAAGTCAATTTCCAAGGTCAAGGTTCCTGGTATCCAATGAAAGGTCTTCTCACAATGATTACAAATCTGAAGTATGAAAGCCCTAGCCTTTACCATTCAAAAGTTATGGCTAAGGTTAAAGTTTTTAGTAAACTCAGGTGACCTATTGCCATCTGTTTTCGTCCGTCGTCGTGCGTCGTGTGTTAACATTTGAACATTTTCAGCTTCTTCTCTGCAACCACTGAACCAATTTCAACCAAATTTGGCACAAAGCATCTATGGGTAAAGGGGAACAAAAATTGTGAATTTTATGATCCCTGCACCCCCCTGGGGCCTGGGGGGTGGGACCAAAACCACTAAAATTAATGCAATCTTTAAAAATCTTCTTCTTTACTCCTGGACATCAAGCAGTCAAACTGTTTGCATGACTGTAATCGGCATCGAGTCTTCTACCAAAATTGTGAAATTCATGGCCCTGGGGTCAGGGGTACTTGTGCTAGGGTGGGGCTAAATAAGTATATAGTGAAAATGCATTATTTCTTTGAAAATCTTCTTCTCTGCTCCTGGGTATTAAATAAACTAATTAAGTACATAGTTATGATGAGCAAGAGTGCCTCTACCAAAATTGTGAATTTTATGGCCCCAGGGTCAGGGGTTCTGGTGTTAGGGCGGGGCTCTATTGATTATATAGTGAAAAAACATGAATTCTTTGAAAATCTTCTTTGCTTCTGGGTATTAAATAAACTAACTAAGTACATAGTTATGATAAGCAAGAGTGCTTCTACCAAAATTGTGAATTTTATGGCCCCAGGGTCAGGGGTTCTGGTGTTAGGGCGGGGCTCTATTGATTATATAGTGAAAATACATGAATTCTTTGAAAATCTTCTCTGCTCCTAGATTTTATATAAACTAGCTAAGTACATGTACATAGTTATGATGAGCAAGAGTGCCTCTACCAAAATTGTGAATATTATGGCCCCAGGGTCAGGGGTTCTGGTGTTAGGGAGGGGGGCTATATTGATTATACATGTATAGTGAAAAAACATTAAATCTTTGAATATTTTCTTCTTTGTACCTAGGTTTTAAGCAGATGAACTATCTATATAGTTATGAGCAAGGGCCCAAATCTTCAAGAATTGTAAATTTCAAGGCCCCACGGTCAGTTGTACATAGGGGGGGGGGGGGTAGGACTGTACTTATATACTAAAAATGAATGAATTGTTTGAAATGTGCTCCTTTGTAT